ATTCATTTCGTGCCACAGGTGTTTTATTATATAAATATTTTATAGCCCGAACATATGCAGCTTGATATGTTGTGGCTTCCAAGAAAGTACAGCAGTTGAATGACAGTGACTGTAATTTGTGTATTCCTCATTATGCACTCTCGATCCTGTAGCTAAGGATAATCAAAAGATATGTAACACAAAACTACTGCAAACTGCTTGCTGATGACAATTAGGGCAAAAAAGTTCTGCTTCCGATTACATGGCATTTGAAAATAGGGTTGGTGCAAGTAGGCTAAGGATTTTCTTTTTGGGGGGCACTTTTTGTGTTCCAATCACATGTAAGGTGTCTACATGTTGTCAATGGTAAATGTAAATACTTAACAGCATATTTATGATTTTGCTGCAAAACTGAACTGTCGACGCTAGTCCGGTGGGATTGGGTGCCATACTCACACAACTGAACGTGACTCTTGCAACAACACATCTGTTGTAGCTCTTGCCAAAGGTAATCGTAAACTGAACGCGAGGCACTCGCCATAATGTGGGCAGTCACCCACTTTCACTTGTACCTGTATGGTGGTTCATTTGAGATCATCACAGATCACAAGCTCTTAGTGACATTGTTCAACAGTTGCAACTAGCCTCCCCTCCGTCTCGAGCGACGGATATTGAAACTACAGGCCTATAACTACTCAGTTGTGTACCGTTCCGGCAAACACAATCCAGCTGACTACATGGCCAGACACCCGCAGAGAGTGCACCAGTCACCTTCAAGTGAACAAATAATCGATGAAGCACACGTCAACTTCATAGCCAATCACTCAGTGCCGAAACATGTCACTCGCGATGAAATCGCTGACGCAACTACCGCGATCCAGTTCTCAAACTCTACATGACAGCCATTACACACGGTAACTGGGATAAACTCCCCGCTAACGCAGACAAACAACAGAAAACTGAACTGACCAGTTTCTACATTGTACATGTCGGACGTGACGTGTCTCAAGATCGTAAACTCCTCATGCGCGACCATCGCCTTGTCATACCCCGAACACTCCGTAAGCGAATCGTGGACATAGCACACGAAGGCCACCAGGGCATGCATCACCAAGCTCTCCTCCGCGAAAAAGTCTTGTTTCCGTCCATTGATCGCATAGCTGAGGCAACAATCCGGGGATGTCTCCCCTGCCAAGCAAACACGATCGAACACACACCCAAATAACCACTCAAGATGTCACCCCTCCCAACCAAAAGCATGGTAAGAGATCAGTATTGATTTGGCTGATCTCCCCAGTGGAGAACATTTGCTGGTCATCATAGATGATTATTCACGCTTCCCAGAAGTAGAAATCGTGTCATCAACATCAGTCCAGCAGGTGATCCCCAAGCTTGATCGAATTTTTTTTCCAGTTTCGGTATCCCAAACATCGTCTGCACCAACAACGGTCCCCCTTCAACAGTCGAGAATTTTCCAGCTTCGCCCGATAGCTTGGATTCCAGCATCGTCGAGTTACCTCTCGTTGGCCCCAAGCAAACGGTTAAGTTGAGCGCTTCATGAAAACTCTCAAAAAAGCATACCGCTCTGCGTTTACCGAAAGCAAACCATGGAAACAGGAACTGTATAAATTTCTTCGCAACTACCGTGCCACACCACATTACACATCGGTGTTTCACCTGCCAAACTCCTTTTCAGCAGATCATTCCAAACACGCCTACCTAAACCAAAGTTCACTCCATTGCCACAGCACACCCCTGTCCAAGAACGCGACCAACACAAGAAGTCCCCGATGAAAACCTATGCCGACAATCGCAACAATGTTCTCGTCCATCGTCATGGGCTTGTCCCCAAATACGTTACCCTACATCCCCTAGCCCTACACCGTGACGAACAAGCGTGGATCCCTAATCACAGCTCAACGCAACACACGATCACACCTACCTCATCCTACTTCAAAAAATACACAGGAGCATCGATCCCCACAACACCCTGACAGTAATGATGAAAGCCCCCCCCCAGGATACACGACCCCAGGCGAACCAGCCCCGTCGCAATCCACCTCGCAATCGTCAGCCACCCCCACACCTACGTGACTTTGTGTCGTAAATCAGGACACAACTCTGACAGTATGAACAGAAATAAGGAACACTTATGCTGTGACCCAGGCTTTAATTGTTTTGTTTATATTCCAAATTGTTGTCACCATTTATCCATACAGTATCATAGGCACTCTGTATACATGTACTTGGTGGTATAGGTCACGGATTGACCTCCTCTCAGTAGTTGAATACACTTATCAGTCAGTCGTGAACAGCGTGCATGGCTCCGCTCACTCCAAACACTAAATACTACAAGTGGACAAAATGATTTCTGTTTGAACACAGACTTTGTTTTTTGTTAATGAATTAATAACCTACTGCATGTAAGGTACATTGTCTTTGGAATGCACTTGAATTAAAACGACTTGTTCCCAACTGTACTCTAAAGATGAATTGACTAATCTGGATGATAAGTACGTTTTCTGAGCATGGAAATTGGAAGTTGCGGGTTTTGTTTTTAGAACACATCATTCATCTTCCCAAAAGAGTGTCTCCGACCATCTGACAGTCAAACCTTATATGCACTGGTATTGTATCTGTGGTTATCAGAAAGGACACAAGACATACTAAATGTGTTTTCAGTACAAATACCAGAGAAACGCATAAACAAAACACTGCCAGAAGAGACCAGTATAAGTTAAACCAAATACAACTAAAAATACCTGCCCACTCCTGTTCTATTTTATATACTTGCAAAGTTTGTGGGCAGGAAAAGGTAAGATAAATGCATGGGAATGATATGACTGAGTGGACTGCATTATCTGTTAAAAGTAGGAAAATTGTTTTATTTAACAAAAGTTCATACATATTTACAAAAATACCGTTTTCTTCAGTTGCGTGTTTAAAGTGGGCATTTACAAATGCCATGTGTACACACCTTCAATCAAGGTAATGTACAAGATTTTGTTGTAAATTTGCAAAATGGAAGATGGATTTGGGGGTTAATATTATCACCGTATAAACTTACACAATACCACAAAATACTACTGCAGTAAACTGTAGCATGTAGTACTCTTATAACTGTGTAGTACTTCGTAGTATTATGTTCTTTTACCTCAAATGAATGCCTAGGAGATGTAGCTTACGGACAATACAGTTCAACTGACAAAATTTTGTTTTCATGAATGCCAACAAAGCAGAAAAACACGGTCTTTAACGGTCAACTTGTACGAGTAGTTGCTGTGCACTTTCAAAATGTATTTGGTATGGTATACCAGGAGCAGAATATCAACGACCGCATACAAGACCAATGATTTCAAAGGATGCTCTTCTCTAACATTTAGTTACAGCGAAGCAAGGTATTTCATAGCAATTCGGTTGGTTCATTTTATAACCCTAACCGTCCTCAGTCCTCCAACAGGTGAAGGCTTGAGGACTGTTAGGATTGATATTTGCAGGTGTTGTACATAAATTACCTTTATTTCAGAATAAAGGTATTTTTATTGTTTCTGAAAAACCACTGAAATCATCAGTGATTTTTTTCTGTGCTCCAAGTGTTCGTATTTTCTGTGTCAGCAAGTAATGTGAGACTTCGAGACACATGGTGGCGGCAGACAAACCGGTCCTTTTCCACGGCTGTGCGCATGCTCAGAACTAAAGCGCATCTCCAGAACTGGCAAAAAGGACTGTTGTTTGCCACCACCACATGTCTCGAAGTCTCCCATTATAGACCAGCATGCACGTAAAAGCTGTTGTATTCAGGATTGTAGTGTGACACCCCACCACCAACCATATCACCCCCTGCCCCACCTCCCCCATCCCACCCGATCTCCCACCGACCCCCCCCCCACTGAATTGTATGATATACGGAATATTACCAATTAAATATAGGGTAGCTGGTACAATATGTGGAAAACAATTGGATTGCTCACAAAAAGGGTTAAAATTAACGGTGTTTACCTGTAAAAAACACTTCATTTTTTCTTTGGACCGTAATTTTTACGGTAAAATGTTGGCAGCACAGCTGCCATTCATTTTACCTTACAATTTACGGGATTTGTTTCAGTGTAATTCTTGGAATACAGAATATTGGAATTCCGGAAGACTGTTTGATCTTGTTATTTATGTTGATTGTCGGTGCATCGTATAGGATCCGGGACTGCCATTCCTAATTGTGAATAGCCAAATGCCCGAGTGGTGACAGTCAATTCTTTTCAATTGAACAGCATAGCATATTTCACAGAAATCTGGACTCGTCAGCTCATATTAATTTTCTTCCTGGAAAGCAAGACACAACTTGACGTACTGTCAGCCCTTCAGGGCTGTATTTTATCGTGTGCACAGCTGTGACAAAGATTCCCCTTGTGGAAAACCTAGATCTGCGCTTTCCTATTTTTTGCGCTCTTCGGTGTTAGCATTCATTTACATTAATGCAAAAAGGATTTTTTCTTAAATGTCCCCACATTTCACCATTAGCCAAAATCCGAAGTAAGTAAAGAAATAAATTTATGCACAAAATGTTTTTTTTTTCAAAAGTCCAAACAGAAAGGTAAAAGGTTGCCAGAAGAAAATACTGAAAAATGAAATGCAGGGCTCTTTAAAAGTCTCAGTCGATAAAAAAACGCTGTATTTTTTTCTGGCCCCAGGCATTTTGCTTTGATTTCTTAAAACGATAGAGTAGAACTCAGCGGCGTATCCTGAAATTTTCCACGGAGAATCAAGGACGGAATATATTCTAACGTTTCATTTTTGCAGACAACTGTGAAACATTCATGAAATACATTGTTTATAATAGTATTGATGCACATACTTAAGGTACTTTAAATTAGTATGTCTCAGAGCAGGGGGCTTTTGACCACTCCCCCCACATTTCCCCGGCCCGCGCCTCCTCATTTAAAATGATTGAAGAGGCAATGTAGTTGCGTTTGATGAATTACTGCACCTCACACAAAGTACATTTTGTCCAATGTGTTTTACTTCAGGAAAGACCGGGAACTGGAAGACGCACTTTACTGTTGCCCAGAACGAAGCCATGGACCTCTTCATCGAGGAGAAACTTCGTGGCACCGGGCTAACATTCGATCACTAGTTGATCGAATCCCAGCAACAGAGCGGCACTCGGAAACCTTTCTCTCGTTACCTGTCTGGCAAGGCTTAGTCTTGTTTACAAGACCTTCCTGTAGTTTTATTCGCGAACCATGAATAATACGACCCATCGACGCGCGCCGTCAGAGGGCCCCCTTCACAAACCGCGCTCCGCTCACGTCACACGTACACACGAACTGCTCACACAACACAAACCGCTCACACAACGTAAAACCGCTCTCACACACAAACCGCTATCACCCACAAACCAATCTCCCCCACGAACCGCTGTCCCAGGAAGGTCTTCAGTTGTCGCAAAGCTCTGAACTCCTCCCGTGAAACTCTGGGAAGATTCCAAGCATGCGCACTTCGTTGTGCTCGACGTGCTGTCACGTAAGGGTGCACTGAACCAATTCAAGCTCCATTGAAAATAGTGTAAAATCAACCAAGTTCGGAGCCCCATGGCAGGCAACTGAAGTCCCTGAGGCCTCTCAAACAAAAAACAACGTGTT